AGCAAACAATACAGAGGAGCTAACTTCAGCTTTGCAGTCCTGGGGTTGACTAAGAATCTTCAAAGAACTTCAGAGCATCCTCAGGGCTGGTCTAAATTTTAAGTGCTGGAGTAACCTTCATACACCCAATTCCTTCCAGTACAGTGTGACTCTTAACACTTGGTTAGTTCCACCCTGCGTTACAAGTAGACATCAAACTCCTCAACAAAGGTTTCCAGTAGCCAAAACCTGGGATCAGGATGCTCTACAAGTAACAACCTAAAGCTTATAAAACCAAACAAAACTATGATTTGTTTGCCAGCACTCGCAAGCTGCAGGCACAGAAGTCACTGCCCAAGCCGAAGTCCAAAGTGTCTTCCGAGAGCTACTAAGGGTGACAGGCATTTTCTGCCCCGCTCAGAAAATACGCATGCCTTCTACCCTATAGTAAAGTAAGGGAGAAAAGACGACTTTTTGAAAAATTCTGGGACGTGAAGTGTAAATGTTCAATCATAGAGGCCTGATCCTGTTTTGGGACCAAACTTCTGCATCCTCTGCATTTGAGTACACAAGCTTCTCCCTCTCCTGTTATTCCAGCAGCTTGGTGGCTCCCTCTGCCTCACCCTAATGAGCAAGTCTAACGCAGATGCCAGTAGACAAAGGGGGCAAACATGCCAGTACAGTACATTCCCAGCATCACACTGCTGGCACTCAATAGCAACCTCCAAACCAGGATTAACAAAGTTAAGATGCAGCAATAGGATTTACCTTTTCCTCCATGACTGGCGATGACTGCAGTGACATACATAACAGCCAAAACAGAGCAGCAATCGCACAAAAAGCAAGACAAAAAAACAACCATTAGAGAGCAGAGGTCATGCAAACAGGCAGCCCTACAACAGACACTGTGTTCGCATGCACTGCAATCCACACCACGTGGAAGTGTGTGCTGTACCCATTACCCCTCTTCGTTGACCGTAGATACACACACCCCCCAACAGCTCTTGCACAAACTTCTCCCAAGTGACACGTAAACATCCTTGATGTACTTACGGTCTTATGCACATATGCACCCCTATGCAGTCTAACACACCCAAGCACATTCACCAATGAAAATAAACAAATGCACCCCAATTGGTGTGCCAGGCTATGCGAAATTATGCCTGTGTCCCCCCCATGCACATCAGTGCACCAAGATACACCAATGCTGGTGTTCCCCCCACACAGCTGTGCAGTGACACAAAAACACACACCTGTGCTTGTGCACAAGCATATACAAACACAGCTACACAGGCACATGAACAATGCAAAGCTTGAAATGGAGGAAAAACTCCCATTTCCCACTGGCGGTTACTCTAAACTCAGATTACAGCCCCATCAGGGGCCTTCACAAACATAAAGAGTTTCTCTCTTTTTCTCTCCAAGGAGACTACCAATATGCCACACTTAAAACAGTAAAAAAGATTAATTTCTCTACTATGAAGAGGCAATTCTTGCCCTTGAAAATTCTGCCCTTCAACCCAGAGAATGGTAGTCTTACAGATGCAACCAGCAACACTTCTCACTGTGCATCTCTTTCAAGGAATGCTAACATAAAGCCACAATTAATAATCGCTTATTTGAAAGTTAGGAAAGGAAGATCTCATTAACATCAATTTCTACCATGCAGGCCAACCCAAATTTGCAATGTGTAGGTATGAATCACCTTTTAAAAGGGTGAGGCCCTAAGCATGCTTTTGTCTACAGTACTTTTATATTTTATTCCATAAGTGCTTCCACAGATACATTCTTATTTACAGAAGGGTAAATGGGAAGGGAAACAAGCCTAACTAACACACTGATCCCATTCCAGTTGTAACACAAGGATCAGGCCATGTTCTGGGAGCAAACTGTGGACTTCCAGACTGCAAGGGGGAGAGGAGCAGGAAGAAAAACAGTCTGGTAAGGGATACTGCATGAACAGAACAACAAACTATTGGTACTTTTTACAGCATGTCTTCTCTTGCTTTCTACACCCCTCTTTTTGCCTAGGAAAGCTGTCGCCTGTCTTTTGGGGGTTTTTTTCCCCAATAGATTTTTGTATTTTAGACAACCCAATTTGAACCAGACCCCAAACAATATATTTTGTAATTACTTTCATTCTCCTAAACCACTCTCTGTGGTGAGATGAATTTACTGTTGTGCAGAGAGGAGAAAGCAATCACTATACAGACCACTCAACAACTACTCAGTCTTTAGTTACTCCACTAGAAGAAATACTGTAAGTCTTTTCTGAAAGCACTGTTTGACTCTCAGAAGAGGAAGGGCAAACAGTCTCCCTTCATTCACATATAACTGCCTTTCTTTCCTTTATGTAAGGCTTTGGTAGCCTTACAAATATGAGTATAAAAATCTTATCAACTGATTCAGAATAAATAAAGCATCTTTCTCTGAGATACTAGTATCTTCCAGCTGCAAGCTGTTCTTGTAACAAAGGCTGAAGAAGTATCTTTAATTATTATTGGAGGTAATGAAATAGCAAATAGGCAGTATTGGAAAATATTCATGGAATCACAGGATGGTTTGGGTTGGAAGGGACCTTAAAGACCATGAGGTTACAACCTCCCTGCCATGGGGGGAGGGACACACCTTCGACTACACCAGGTTGCTCCAAGCCTCATCCAGCCTGGTCTTGAACACTTCCAGGGATGGGGCATCCACAGCTTCTCTGGGCAACCTGTCCCAGTGCCTCCCCACCCTCTCTGTGAAGAACTTCTTCTTGATACCTAATCTAAATCTCCCCACTTTCAATTTAAACCCATTACCCCTTGTCCTGTCACTACAGGCCCTTGTAAAAAGTCCCCCCCAGCTTCCTTGTAGCCCCTTCAGGTACTGGAACGTGCTATATTCTTCACTGAGCAGGTGGTCAAGCACAGGAACAAGGTCCCCAGCAGAACATTCACACCTCCGAGCCTGTCAGTGTTCAAGAATTGTTTGGACAATAGACTTAGATATATGGTTTAACCTTTAGGTTGACCTGGGTGGCGTTGGGCGTTGGACTCAATAATCCTCGTGGGTCCCTTCCACTTCAGGATATTGTATTGTAAGGTTGCAGGGAATATGGCAGGAGGCCCAAACGAGTTACCAAAGTTTCTGAAGATTCATATCTTCTAATACTCCCTTTCCATCCTTCAAGCCTCTTTCATTGACAAGGTGGGGTTGGGTCTCTCTTTCAGTCCCTTTTTGTTTCTTACAATACACAGTCAAAACTTTGATAATTTGAATTGAGTCTTTTCCAGTGCAGCCCAATACAGCAACAGGAAGCCATAGCAGACAGAGTGTATTTCCATATGCAATGCCAAGACCTGAAATTTCCTTTCTATTACATCACCCCAAAACCAACTGACATTCCGGTATTTGCTACAGACATAAAAACAAGTTACTAAAATATCTTCACTTACTCTTCCTTTATTCTTAATTTCAAATAATTTTGCTCTTCCTTCATCTCTAAATTTTGCTCAATGCTTTTCTTTTGCATTTCATCATCCCTATCAGACTATACTTCAAAAACCTCTGTGGCTTTTCATTTTTCTGTTTTCCCAGTATTTTCATCTCTGTGTCTTTGCCCATGCTGCCCTTTGTGTGTAGTCTGACATGCCATCCCCACTCCTTTTCTTAGCCTATTGCTTCCCAAAGATTTGTTTTTTGAGTGAAATTCAGTGATATTAACCAGCTGAAGTTCGATATTAACCAAGATCAGTCAGACATATTTTGTAAGAGATGAAGCAAGACTCACCTAGCAGGCACTCTTTTATGAGTAACCCTGGGTCTCTATTTTTCAGACCAACAGCTCCCATGGTTTGTGGTCAGTATGTGTGCAAAACGTTTCAATATTCCTCAAGGCCAGAAGAAATTTAAAAGTTTAAAAAAAGACAGGCAAAGACAACAAAAATATTGGTTTTGTTGCGTATTACTTCATCAATATCGTTCCCCTGGGAAACACTTTCATCTTAAAACTTCCTGGGTTACACAGTGCACTGTAGAGTTAATCATCTCATTAGCATGTGATGATTAACACAAATACTAATCTGCCATGCATAAAAATTACCACAGAAAACATTTTTTTTTTAATGGCTGAGTGATTTAATAGATTATGCTTAATCTGAGTAGATTATGTGTTATGTGATCTATTACTTCTCTAACCAATATTTATGGAACATCACTTCTTCTTCCCACCCCATGGGCAATGTCACTGGCATACAGTATCATCAGAGAGAGAGCTTTTGGTTCCTTCACGTACCAGTTAAAACCAGATGTATCTGTACTGAAATCAATGTTAACTGCAACTTTCGTGCTTTAAATTTGTTCTAAGACTACAAATGACTAGTTCTTTTAAATACTGAACTTCTTTCCTGCCACTGCCTTCTTTATTCAAAGGCTGGTTCTTACTGGTTTGGTGCTCTGAAAATGGAGGAGGTGGGGTGGGAGGGAAAAATCAGTCTCTTGGGCATAAGTAGGTCTATTGGGTGACTGACTTACAGAAAGCTTCACTTGAAGGAACAGGGGGAAAAAGAATCCTGTAATGGCTAACGCGTTTAATTGCTACAGTTTTGCTGTTTCTCACACGTACAAAGACACAGACACACACACCAATACTCTATTTGACACCTCCATCCATGTGACAGATAAACCTTTTGCATGCTTCCTACGAACACAAACGTACTTTTGCAAAGGCCCCCATCAACAGCAGCACGACAAGGCCTAAACTTGGTAACAGAACACATAAAGCTCCTCGCGGTAAAGCCTTAGGAAACAGACCCACAACTCATCTACAACCCATTACAGAAAAGCTTCAACTGTAATCCATGCCTGCAAGGGAAGACCCTGCTTCTGCTTTCCCCCTTTCAAATACATGCACTCTAAGTTCCCAGATGGTATATGACACATGGAGAGGTTATGGTCCTACCTTCTTCCAGGCAGACTCCCCTCAGTTTGATTACTTCCACCAACCTGCTGCATCTTGGAGCGCTCAATGTGTTCCACATAGGTCTGTATCATCTGTGAGGAGAGAAAAATCCATGAGCCAAACAGAGAAGAAAATATTCATTTTCTGCTTTTGTTTGATCTTCTCCAGCAGCCATTTCCAATTCCCTTTCTTTTTTTGCACATCTCCCTATCTTTGTTCTTGTCTTCTAAACTGATGATGTAAGTGAAAGGACTAATCTGATAAAATATCTGACAGCAAACAGTGTTGGAAGTGACTCAAACTTAATCTCCTAACAGAAGAGCCATGAAAGAGCATACACAAAAATAATGTTAAGACATCTCCTGGAGGCTCACTGGCAGTTGGAGATGAGGTAGTGAGGCACTGTTCACAGGATCACAGCACAGTTGAGGTTGGAAGGAACCTCCTGGGGTCCATCGGGCCCAACATCCCTGCTCAAACAGGGCGACCTAGAGTAAGTTGCCCAGGACCAAGTCCAGGTGGCTTCTGAATATCTCCAAGGATGGAAACTACACCATATCTCTGGGCAATTGTGCCAGTCTTCATTATACTCACAATAAATAAGTTTTTACTCATGTTCAGAGCAAGCATTCTGTGTTCCAGTTTGTGCAAGTTGCCTCCCATCTTGTCACTGAGCACCACTGAAAAGAACCTGGCTCCATCCTTTTTACATTCTCCATTCAGATATTTCTGATGTTCCCAAAGTGCAGAAGGCCTAGTCATCACTAATATTGTGAAGCTGAATTTTTTGACATAACATATAGGCTGAGTTTATTTATTTAGAAATAATGAGATTATATCCTACCTCTGTGTGACGCTGATGTAGAGCATTATACTCTTTCTTCATTTCTGACTCACGTTCCTCCAGTCGTGAAACTATCAAGAGAAGATTCCAACCATCAACTAACATACATCAGGCTCTCAGAAGAAACTGGAAGACTCAAAAGCCTATTTTGTTAGAAATTAATTTATTCCTACTGAACAAAAGAAACAGAAACAGAATAATGCACCTTGTGGGATCTGGTCTTCATTACAAACTCAATTCATGGGTACCTGCATGTTCGCAAAATGAGCAGACAAAATAGTGCAGTAAGACCATAGAAGCAGCGTTCTTCAGCAGTAGCCTGGTGCCCCAGTTTAATAACAACTTAAAATGTCCTCTGGGAAGGGCACCTCTGGCTATTAGAGGAGCTATCTGAGCACTGGACAAAACACTGATGAATTCTGAGGGGAATCTCAGCCAACAAAACAGGGCTGGACATGTTAAGGAAGATTAAAAAAAACCCCAACACATAAACAAACAAACGAAAAAATATGGTAGTTTACATGAGAAAAAACTGGGAGGCTCTATTCAGGGACAAGGAGAAAACTGGAAACCAGGTTCCAAACCTTTACCAATGGCCCAAATCTTGCATCTGGAGAGACTGAGCATGCCCCACATAAGAGAAGCAATGAAGTGTCTACTAAATTAGTGTGGGTACATCCCATCCTTTAGAAGGCTCAGAATTTTATATCACCGAAGTAAGGGATAAACAGATATTTCATGCTTTGTGTAAGTTACATTAAAGCAAACAAAAAGTACAAAAAATATTTTCAACATAGCAGTACATATGTGTGGAAAACGAAGTGTATAATCACATCTGATGTACAACTTTGCTTACTCTGATCTGCATAGTTTTTGGTCTTCAGCTCCAGCTGTCGAGTCTGAAATTCAAGGTGTTCCACTTGGATTTGTAGTTCTTTCTTCTCCTGCTCCAGTGCATCCTCAAACTCTATAAACTTCTGGATAAGGAAGAAGCAGAGAAGGAGGCACACATGAGGAATAAATATAAAATGTGTTTGCCCTATATGACTTGTCCTCTCCTCACAAAATCAAAAATGAGAGAGTATAAGTTACAGAACAGGAAATAAGAACTTTTAAGTACTGTAATTAGTACAATAGCATTTAATCAATCTTAAGAGACTATTTTGCATGAGAAAGTATTAGCTATCTTTACCATATAATTAATATATAAACTATAGTCGAACATGAGTTACGTAAACCAGTGCAATTCAATCAACTGCAGCAATGTTGTTCTTCCTCATGCCAGGCTGAATTTTGATTCCTGTTACTCTGATGTCAGAAAGACAAATTCTATTTCTATGGTCATGTATTTACAGACACACATGGCAGAAACCTTCAGACCAATTCTTCTATTTGTGGAGTTTTAGAAAGCTTCATCTGTAAGTCACACGGTGGAGAAGTTTTGCAGAAACGTGAGTCTCTTGGAAAACTTATCCACCACCCCAGGCGCTGAAAGCAGCCTCTGCACCCAGAGATGGTGACCTGCCCCAGCAGCAAACTCAAGAAGGGCTCTGTGGTACGCAGGAGCCAAGGGAAGGAGAAGGCAAACAGTCAGAGGAGGAGATTCTCACAGCAGAATTTAACAAATTTATACCTAGCAAGAAAAAAGCTTGGCTCTTGGCAAAGAAGGGAGGGAAGGGATCATTGCTGCTAACTCTCATTAGCAACAACAAAGTGGAAGCCTTGCTCATTATATGCACTGGATACTAGCATGCACAACAAAGAAAAGTAGAACATGTGAAACATTCAATTTAGCCCCTCGGTAGTGAACTGCTATTACATATTACTCTTGGTAAAAGCTGTAGTCATGGTTGCTTTCAAGAAATACTTAACAAAACAGGGTCCCTGAGAAAGTGAAGAGCACCTTCAAATCTCTGAGTATACATAAGGATGCCTGGTTCTTGTGCTACACATGGTCACAAGAGTTTTTCTGTACAAAAGACTAACGCGTAGCCATATGCAATAATAACGACCCATAATCCATAGTTCTGCACTCAGAAACTGAGCTGGTTCTAGTAACACCTCTGATACAATCTTGTAGAAAAAAAGTAAGACTCAGAAAACTTTTGCTGTTAACCACATACTTCCTCTCCACAGCAAATCAAATCTAAGGCATGGTACCACCGTGCTTACAATGACATAGGATACTAAAGCTATCTCACTAGCTTCAGAACAAGTCCCATCCTGACCTTACAAACCCAAAAACTCGAGTCTCATGACGTTACTCCTATGCAGCCAAAGAAGCTAAAACAAGAGCTATCTACACCAACCAGTTCAGTAATTAAAACACAAACCCATCAGCAGAGCAGCAAGAACAAGACTGGGGCCAGGAGCAATGTTGGGTTCAGAACTGCAAATGAAGAGAGACAGCAGGAAATAAAGCCAAGATGGCTTTAACCTACCTTTAAGAGGTTTATAGAACAAAGGAGCCCACAGGAGGTACCCAGGGCTATGAGGAGCTCACAAATGCCCTCCACTCCTGGCCCTGCCTCTTGTCCACTCCAGCTGGTCGCAAAATGCCCCTTAGGCCAACCTCCAGCAGATTCACTAGCACATGCACATCAGCTGACTGAAATCTCCTACTTCTGAAGGATGGACACTGGGGAAGACAAGCCTTCTCTCACCCTTCCCTGTACTCTGCAGGGGGAAAAGTGTTGATCTCTGCAAATAATGCTGCTGAAAGGGCATGCCAACTTCAATTTAAAGAGGTAAAGCTTCACTGTGCTCCAGAAGAGACAGACTGTGGTGAAAATGATTTTCGGGTAAGATTTCCAAGGAAACAAATGCATTTAAATGCAACAACATTATTCTGTCATATTTTGCACATGAAACAATATGCACAGTATCCAACTGCATTCCCAGGATAAACCATGTGCACATTTCCTGTGACTTTCACTGGAATAATTAGCAGTGACAGTGGAGCCATCATTATGCTCATGAACTGGATCTTTTCTCTGTGGACAACTGAGAGGCTACATCATATATTATTCTCAAGACTTTTAAAACTGTTCAGCAAATTCATCTGAACAATGAGTCAGTTTTCATTCCTACATACCTGTATTTATAGAAACAATCAAATGCATTTTAGCCACGTCTCATTTTCCTGCACTTGGTGTTCTGCAGTGCCTTTAATCTTTAACAGGGCTTTTAACTTTTTTTTCCTTCCTACCCAAATCTGTTGTACTAACGGGGTTTTTTTCCCCTCTTATGGTTGTTTTCCAGCAGTATTTTCTAGAATTACCAGAAATCCCAATACCTCTCTCCCACTATAAAGGAGTTATCTCAGACACTAATCATTTACTTTTTAATTAAACGTTAAGACTGTACAGGTTTTAGATTTTGAAGTCCGAGATGTTAATTAAACACTGAAGTGCCTTAGTCACTCACAAACATCCAGCAATCTGTTTTATGAATTTTGGAAATTTATAAAGCAAACTGCTTTGTAAATGTTCAGATTTATTCTTGGAATATTTTCCAGAATAACAATGTAATTTCAGAATGAGTAAAAAGGAAAAAAAAATCCTAACTGACAGAGCTACACTGAGCAACAGACCTAGAGGAGCAGCAGTTTAACTTGCCCTGCTTGGAGGACTGATGGAAGCTACACCAACAACAGAGCTATTTTCCTGGTATAATTTCCATCTCCTCACAGGGTTTTGCTGGAAGCACTCTGTGTCAAAGCTCTACTGATGAACCCTTTTAACTGCAGCCAAGGGCTAAATTCCCATCACATCACACTGGCTCAGCGGTCGCCACCTTCTTGGATCGAGAGATCCTCCTGCTCCTAGTTCTCCATCCAAGAGCATGCCACCCAGGCCAGGCAGGAATGAGGTTTTTAGCAGAAAAAAAATGAATGGGCATCAAGAAAAACATTCACAGATTTCTCAACAGGAAATTAGGAAGCAAAAGAAGGTACAAGCCCCACTATGTAGGTCATCTTTAATAGGATTCCTGGATTTGCTACTGATGTTTTGGTTTCATTCAGAGGAAAGTGATTGAAAGATTAAGCCTTCTACAAATGTGGCTCAGTCTTCTTTTTCAGTCCTATCTATTTTGCAGCCTCAAAGAAACAGAAAACTAAAAATCAATTAGCCATTTGGAGAAGAGAGAGACATGGAGACAACAACATTAAAAATTAATAATTACGCTAAGTATTCTGAGGGAAGAACAGCATTTCAGATAAGGTATTGCAGTACATCCTGGACAATCTGCTGGAGAGATCCAATAGCATTTGTGGGCAGGCACCCAAGGGCCCTTTGCTACATGTCTCTGAAGCATCTTTTAGCTGCTCCTGCATCAGAAGCCGTCTCACCTGAGGTTCTCCCTGTGCATCAGACCATCTGTAGGGCTTAGAACAGGAAAATGTTCCATATCCACGGAGGAGTGAATGGCCAGACTAGCAGGATGAGGAGAGGTTTCACTGCCAGGGCCGTCCCCGAGGAAAGCATGCTCCTGACTGAGGAGACGGCTTAGCACACACTGTCACTGCTGCTCACCCTTCATGGTAAGAGCGAGCTCTCATGAGGGTATTCAGGCAGGTTTGCTTTTTTTTTCCAATAAGCCAACAGCAGACATTTCATCTAGCATCCAGGGAAGTGACTCACTAAGCCACTAAAGCAGCAGAGATTGAAATGACCTTCCTCAGGAATACGAGCACATCCACAAGCACAACTAAGCAGTGCCAGTAGTTTGGGGAAAACAGGCACTTCAGGCACATTTGTCTTACTCTTATGAACAATAGCCTCCAGAGAAAGAGACACCAGAGGCAGGATTTTGTCTCAGCATGATGCTATGCCATGGTTCTCAAACTGCGGCTCATGGACCACTGTATACAGCTGCGGGTGGCCCAGCCAAGCAGCACTGCCCAGGATGGCTCCAATCTCTCTCCTGCCCTAACATAACCTGCCAGGCGCATCCCCTAGCACACAGCAGATCCCCCTACCACAGGGTGCTCTCTGCACCAAGCCTTACCTTCCCATGTTGCTAGAAACTCATACCAGAGCAGGAGAAACAAAGAACAAACTGAATAGAGGTTTTGGTTGGGTTGTTGGGTTTTTTTTAATTAACCAGACTCAGAGAGACAGTTATACCTTAAAACCAAGCACATATTACTGAGTGAAGGCAGCTCAGTAAATAAACATATGTGGGCATTACACGTTTTTCCATTTCTCACAGAGGAATGGGATACAAGCCTGGCCCTACTGAAGCTGTGGGAACGCTCTCATTAGCTCAAAGAGGACCAAGATTTCCCCTCAACCTTTAAAACCTCCTAAAAAATAAACAGCACGCTAACTTGAAAGTCACCTTCCCATCTGAAAATTTTTTGTTCTGGTTTACTCTTGTTTACTGTGGTTTTCATCTAAGTTTGTGTACAGCCAATACTATCTAAATCCTGCATTTCCATGCACAAAGATACCTCTGTAGGTGCTAACTAAAATCAGCAAGCCTTCGTAAGAGAAAAGAAAATACACATGAATCAAATTCACGCTTCTGGCCTCAGAAATAGTGTAAATTCCAGTGACTTACTGAAAGCATATACTGCAGATAATACTCTTGCTTCATTATAAACTTAAAAAGATTGGACCAAAAAGAAAAAAAAAACCAAACCACCACGCCCAAACAGCACAGCCTTTATAGCCTGAGATACACTATTTACAAAGAACTCTGCCACGGATTAAAATGCACAGGGTACTAAGTTTTAAAGCCTAAATGCCTATTTGCTGACTGCATTCTTACACTTCAGTGCTGCCAAGAGGCAAAAAATAAAATATGGTGCTGGTGACAAGTCACAGACTTAACTTGCTGCTGTGAGCTGTCCTTGATTTCAAGGGGTTTCTCATTTGCAGAGCCAGGTACTGGAACTGATTTTCTGATAGTTTCACTGCACGGAGCTCAGTTCAGACCCACACCTCAGTGACTTCACAGCTCACAGATCCAC